ATGTGTAGAGGGAGTGCAGACTGGGAAGAGTTGGAGAGGATGGTAAGACGATGAGAACCACTGGTCAGGGTTTGGAAGGTGTTGCAGCAATGGACGAAAGGCTGTACTGATTATAATTCATATGATATATCAGAGAGACCAGCAGAATAGTAAATAGAACAAATTTATGTCTCTAATTCTAGACTTTACGAGTCGCTCGTGTGCAATCACAGGCAATACAAAGTGGTCTAACGTTGATCAGCCATGAACAACCAACAACATGCCAAGTACCAAATCGGGCACCCAAAGACGTTGTCAACAATAAGTGATGCAACCCACTTAGCCAAGGTGTGGGCGAACAGGAGGGCTTTCGTATGCAGCTTCTACTGCGTTGCGGGCGCAGGAGGGGCTGAATGCGCTGTAGCTTGGAGGTGTTCATTGTGTTTCGTTCAGGTCGCTTGCGCTATGCAAGCTAGAAAGCAAAAGGGCAAAAGCAAGATCCAAGGTCGGAGGCATTTCTTTTCACAGTCCACTCCTTTCCTGCTATCTTCCCCTTGTGCCTATAATGGCATCTTCCACTCATTACTCATCGACGCCACGCTCATGTCGTACATCCCTCTCAAGGCAACAACATGATACAGCAACTTCAGTCAATTGCATGAACCGTATCGAGTCGCTTATAGTGAAGGATGCGGCGTGGCTTCTCGAAGACCACATTCAAGTCGTCCCTACGGATACGTTTCTATGTCTTAATTTCCCAAACAGAGACATGGAACTTAACTCTAAGCAGCTGACAGAAGTTCTCGCTGATGCTATGGATGGTATGTGATTCTTATTTCGACTGCTTGAATTTTGCACTAATGTTTGATATAGCGCACCACGCTCTCTATAGATTTCATATCCTACACAGGGATATATCCCCGAACAACATCCTCATCAACACTGCAACAGGCCGTGGCCTACTAATCGACTTGGACATGGCCAAGGACCTCCTTGATACAACTGAATTTGTTGGCCGACCCGAAATTACGGTGAGTGTGGAACAAAGCCGGAACCAAATGAGAGTTCTCTTGCTGATCTTTGGTCAGGGTACGGTGTTTTATATCTCCCCAGCGTTGGTTCATTCACCGGTACATCGGTATTGGCACGACCTAGAGTCGTTCTTTTGGGTGGGTGTACATACTATTTTCAGACACATTGAAGGGTTACGTGTCAAGGGCCGAAATTTCGACAGTCTGGAAAGCAGAACAAGAGTCCTAGGAGAGGTCTTCCCTTCCTTGAGAGGAGACGGGTTTGAACAAGTATCGAGAGCGAAACGAGAATTCCTAGGAACATATGTGTCAGTAGCCGGTTGCCCAAACCTCTCCCAAGCCATATTCAGGTCATCTAAAGAACTCAGTGATCTTTATGCGATGGTTAAGGCGATCGACGCTATTGCTATAGAAGTTCGTGACCAGTTCGCAGTGGCGTTGCAAAACCCGGTCTACAACACAGACCCTACTAGGCATTATCAAGCTGAAAAGTCTGAAGATTTAACCGAGGTGCTAGATTTATTGTCACAGGATATCATCATTTTGGAGAAAACAAACGGCCCTCTCGAAAGTCTTCGTCAAGACCTACAAAAATGCCGGGATTCCATTAACACTCACATATTCCCTTCATATAACGTATTCATTCGAAGGTGGAGGGCTGCGTCTTTGGATCCTCCGTCTGTATGTATCCCTTATATTGCCCCAAGGAACCTTCTCTATATTGATCCACTCATTGGGGTGATGAAGCCTACTCAAAAACCTTCACATGATCCATTGACGGAGTCCCCGACAAAGAATCGTCATAAGAAGCGAAAATCAACTCTGCAGGATATCTCTGCCTCTGAGCAAAAGTAAGTAGATCTTAGCAGAAGAACTAAAACTCTTTATGTCTGACATTTCTTGTACAGCGCCTGTCGAAGAAAGGTTCCACGCCTACAGTAGAAATTTCTCTCCCTCCCCCCCATTTTCATGATGTGATATTTTAGCGACCTGGCTCTAATTTGGGTTAGCGTCGAGGTGGTCGAGAGAAGCCACAGAATTGGGCGCAGCCTATGGCCTCGTATTCATCTTGTAGATCCATGTAGTGTAAAGTCCAGCGTCAAAGTAAGAAATAAAATGAATTCATCGATCATGATCATATTAGCTAGTCACAAAAGTAAAATCGTTCTTCTGCTCCTGCAAAAACGCAGTTTGCTTGAAAAATAATCGACACTCTAAGAATCTACTTTCTCTCATGCAAGGCTCTAATACCAGTTATAGCTCCGGGTCTTCCCATGTACGTGCCACCCTCATATTTCGAGTGCTTGCTAGTTCCGTGAGAGGGAGTAAAGTTCGTAGTTGGTAAGATGATTGTTCACCCGAGGACGGCTCAAGTAGGTTGGGGATTCTTGACCAGGAGGCGATTCCAAACTTTGAGTATGAAGTTACCGGTCCATTTAACTTCCTATAAAATATACATTTCCAGTACCTCAAGCATCTTTGGCAAACAGGTGGCAATCCATGGCGCCGAGTCCGGTTCGGGACCATAAAAAAGTCGATAGTTCATGTATAAAACCCTGAGGAGGGCAATTTTATCGAAGAACAAGAGTGCTGAACTGTTAGAGTCCCACGCGCATTTGTTCAATGTCACATCAAGGACCTCGGGGCCTATTCGTTCTGCAATCTGCCAGTCGATTATACCTCATGTAGCGAGACTTTTGGTAGACATATTGTCGAGGAGAGCACTACGAGACTGGAGTTAGAGAGGGATCGCTTAACTCATCAACTGACACTTTTATGCTATGGCACGGGGTCCGTTGGGTCTAAGGTGGTTCATACCAACTTGTTCTCGACCGCTGTTGGGTGTTCTCCCTATCTACAGCATCCAATATACGGTTTTCATTTGGAACGGGTCTCTTTTCACGCCCTCATGGAATGTAAAGGTGAAGCAGATGGTGTGATGGATCCAGCATGCGTTCGATGACATGACGGTTTAGACTCCATAAAGAATGTGTGGGACCATCAAATTCGGTTACAACGGGAACATTTCGGAATTAATCAATCTATGCACGGTTG